CTGATTTTCAGAGTCCTTGTTTTTAAACTCTATGTAAATAGTGATTGATGATCGACAAAGTGCACTGCCCAGCTGTTCGTACTGCTTAGGACTCATCAGCAGTGCGTACTTATTGAGTCTCCATCGGGATTCAAACCGCGAACCTTCGGGTTGGGACTACAGACCTTGATCTCCGGAAATACACGGTCGACGGGAATCACTGTGTGAATGGCTCAACCAATGAAGAACATTACGTTTGGATTAGCCTATTCCATTGTTCACAGGCACTTGCTTTCTTCTTTATACAGTGACCTATCTTACACCCAACTTATCAAAACAGTCACTTCCCGACAGTTCCGAACATGTGATACGTGCTCCATAAAACGTTTAGCAGATCCGACATATCCTTTGCACACTGATTTAAGTATTTCAACAGTAAGCACCCGTTTCGAACCCAGATGCCTAATTACACGTACTTTAGCTGTACTTTGCCAGGTCCTCCGTCACTCTGAACTGAAAACTCAGCTGAATTAACTGTTACGGTGTTTATATTGCTTGTTTTTGGCGTACCATTCTTTTGTCTGTTATATGGCTTGAGATAAATACACAACCCCGGGGGAGGGGAAAGCGAATACTTGAGTTGACTTGAAAACCAGAACTATAGGCCACAATGAGGAAGAGTTCACCACTAAACGGTCCATCACAACTGGATACCTCCCCCCATTCGTGTCCCTGGTCGTACAGAGGAATTCACCTGCACCGCTGACTCGTTATTCGAACCCCCCCCTTCAACTTGAAGCAAGTTATCTCAATCTTCCTCTCTTGATTCTATTTAGATTATTTCACACTTGTCTGAGGCCAGACTGTGCCAAGTAAATCAAGGTACAATAATCTCTATAAAAAAGAAAAAAGTTCCTCTCTTGGCTCACCATCTTATCATCGACTTTCACACTCTATTTGTCAGTCCAATATTCTCCTCTCATTGCACATTAAGGCGTCAAGAATACGCGAGGACAAATAGCTCCGACTCCCTGCTATCCTACGTCTAGAGCAATTGAGCCTTTTCTCTTGACCAGTCCACGTCAGCCGTGAATATTGTGGAGACTATTCTACAAGGCATATATACGTTTATTCCAATTTTTTAACCCCAGGAAACAACATTCCTTAGAATGCCTCCAGACATTCTTGTCCCCGGCAATCGATGCGAAAAAGGAAGATATTTAACATTAGGGTATATCCTCAAAGCCCTCTTCTCGTGGACTCTGAGCTCGGAACAAATACTAAGCAAGCAGTAAGAAAGTCAAGTACAAATTAGTTCGTTGTAGGGCTAACAAACTCGCTAACTACCGTTCTAGTCGCCGCTCGGTCTGATCCTTTACCAAAGTAACCTCCGTAGTTTATGTCCTTCATCCTGTCCCTCAGTTAAGAATACAACTGGAGATCTGGTCCCGTATTCCTCCCTAAATGATAATGAATTTACTTTCCTTTTTCCTTTTATTTCTACTGCACCTTCATAGGCAACTCTTCTCTCAGCTATTAGGCACCACAGTCCTAATCTTTGTCCAAAAACCATAACCGGAAATACCGATTAGCATTGCGTTCACCAGATACAGTCACCGCACCCAAACCAGACGATATACTACCAATCGAGCTCAAAACTTGGGCTTGTCCCAATTTCATTTCTTTCACTTATCGCGCGCACCCTTCCATTAGCTGCAGTAAATTTTGTGTGCTCGTCGGCTCACTGGAGTTTATTGTTATCTCGATGTCAAACATGTTCCGGAACCATACCTATGCTCGTTAGGATATCCCTAGATTGAAATCTGTTAATTCTGTGCCTCACACAAATAGTATGCTTGGATCAAGAAGCGCAAGCGTGTTGAATGGCAGTGTGCGCTTAATAGCACCCCTCCTATCAAGATGACCGTGCCGTCATAGGTCAGCACCAACGTTCGCTCTATCTTTGCAAAGACCTCGGATTTAACTTCTTCACTGAACACACCCATCCATTCCAACACATGTATCGTATGCATACAAGAAACCTGATTAAAGCAAAACTTTGAGGATGCCCTCATGGCTTCGACTGTTATCGGCAGGATAGACAACATAGCAGGGAGAAAACTGGAGGCGGTGTGGCAACGTACATCAACACGTCTTGGTGTGACAAGTCTGAAGTGATATTCAGCTATTCTGAAAAAATCCATCGACTGTTTATCCGTTCGTTATCATCCCAGATTTTCCCAATATAAAATTACGATTATTACCAATGTGTATATGCCTTCTTCGAGCTCCCAATAAGATATTTCTTTTTTCTTTGATCGTTACATCCCGTTTTTGGTTCCAGTATTGGATGAGAATCTTCATTTGTCTGTTGTTGACTTCAAACATGCAGGCATTTTCCATCTGCCTTCTTTTGGCTTGTCAGATTTGTCTGATTATCCTACCAAAGGCAGCTCTATATTTGACAGGGTAATTAAAAATCATCCTACTTTGTGTTCTCTCAAACTAATGGCCCCATTAGCTACCAGTGATCATTAAGACCTTAAGACCAAAGACATACTCTTGCTCTGCATATCCGACATTCATAGGATCAAACCAGATAGGATTTCATCTCCGTAACTTTTCATCAACCCGCAGTTCACATCTCTGTCGTTCCGTAACGACTGCCCAATCTTCGTTTGCTTCTTGTTCATTACTTCTTAACTGTGTCAGTCTTTCCACTGAGACGATGAAATCGATCTTCCAGTTTTGTTGTCCCATAGAAACGATTCAGTACAAGGACATTCGTCACGTTGACAATCGGTCCATAGCATCCAGTTCAGTTTGTACAACCTTCAACAATGAACTATCGTGCGTCGGTTTTGGTTGCTATATTTTGGCTTCCCATTTGGATGAACAGTCGGAGAAAGACAGGAAAGGTTGAAAGTAGGATCGAAGAGAAAATTTAGAATTTCATTGCACTAATTTTGCAGAGAAACTGACAAGATGCACGAACGCCTCTGTTTACGAGACCCAGTTATATCACTCAGTGTCTCTAACCACGGGTGACCATCATCCCGAGGTCCCCAGTCAGGGAGCCTAACGGGACCTATGTGACCCAGACTCCTGGTTAGGGCTTCATACCATCATTCCAGGTCTTGGCTTTACCACCCTTGACTTTCTTCCACTCACTATCTGCCTTGGCGAACATCGCTCGTCGTGGCAAACTATGTGGTGACATGCGTAACCCATGACACAACCAACGTGCTCTAGTGGGCGACCGCATTTAAATAAAACTGCGCCTAACCTCGGCATTGCTCGTCCG